TTTGAAGCCTCACACCTACAGCTCTTGTCTAGTCATTTACACCCGACAACATTATCCGTTCAAGACTGTAATTTATAATACCGGTTTTATGCCTCCCAAGAGATTCTTCCTGGTTTATTATGAAAAAAATGAATGCGACTTCGCTATCACGCAGACATTTATCCACTTTTTGCGGTTTTCCCAAAACTCATGTCACCCACCCTATTGTCTCTAAACACCACGGCTTGCGTTGCACTTGCTTATAAAGCACTGTCTGGCTCCCTGTGACTCTTGCATTATATCAGCCTGTTTGAATTTATCTTACTCACTCCAATTGGGAACACCATTATGCACATAAAAGTTATACAACTTCTCCCTAGTTTCTTATCCTACCCGTTTTTATATCACACGGACCGGATTCCTTGTGATTTTCCATCAATATTTCAGCTGCGTACTTGTAGTGCATCAACTCGCCTCCGTTTTTTTTAAAATTTTTTTGGCATCCGGCGGTGGCCTATGCACCCGAGAAGGTAATGGAGCTATTTCTTTATTTGAATTGATAATTTGCACTCCAGTAACACCGATGTTTTGTATCTCCTGGACAAGGCTTTCTATGCTTAGGGATCGTCCAAGGAGTCTTTGCTAATCGTTTTGCAGTCAGACTTCAGTTATTCAGTACTCGTGGTAAATTACATTTAAAACTGGGAGAGATAACTTTATTTACTTGATGGCGATGCCACAAACCGATTAATTCTCACACGTCTTTATATTTTTCGTTGTAGTATTCCGCTCATTACAGGTGACTTATCGGTTTCTTTGTATGTTTTTTGTAAACTCGAAAACTTCATGTCTTGTTTCTTCCGATCTGCAAGCGGTTTACTTCTCTGTTTTCCGCATGCTGTTAGCCTTCCAAGTATCTTGCCGCATTCATTCAGAATCAGCTGCTTTTCTCTCTCGTGGGTTTTTCTAATGTTTAAAGTTCGTGAATGTAAATGTCGATCATCTGAATACTGTGAAAGAAATTCAGTTCGTTTTGCTGCGCCTGATTGTACTTATGGCTTGTGAGCACGGGTCTAGGTGAACAGGTAGGTTTATGTGTTCTTTGTTTTCGTGTATTTGACTTTTCATTTCCTCGACCAATGGTGAGTAGGCTGCCTCGGAAAAGTGCTTCTTCTCTTCTTACTGGAGTTTATCTGCTTTCTGTGCCGTCCTCCGCAAAACCCTTTCTCGCAGTTCTACATTGCTCCGAAAGAGAACTCGACCCCTATCCGTCTACTGCACAACTCGGCTGCTCACTTGCAGGGGTCTGCGCGACCGCTTGGTGCTGTTTTAGTGGGTTATCAAGGTGTGCGCGCATTCGCTCCATGTCCGGTTGTCCGACAGCTCCACTGTATAGGAGGTGGCGCTGGCGGTGTTCGTATCGGACTTGCTCTGGTCGCTATGGCTCAAGACGTGGAAACGCTTTACGCAGCTACAAAGGCTGCATGCACCTTGATCAAGTGTAGTCCGACTGCGGCGAATGAAATGCGTGTTACGCGTGGCTACCAAGTAAGGGGATTCGCAATGAACCCTTATGCTTTTTGTATATTTGTCCCTAACCTGTGATCCATATCCATTTCTGAGCTTGCTTTCGGATATTGCAAATGTTTGTTTATTTGCCTAAAAGTTCAGATCTTTTTTGCTCCACTGCTGTCCACAGAGGGCTGAAAAGCACTCTCCTTACTCATAGTCCTCTGTGTTTCACCTACTGCCTCCAGATTTTCCGTGTCCATCATGTTTGAAATATTTGTTTGATGCAGAACTAAAATTCAAATTCAAATTACAAGTAAATTTATCTTACTTTATGGAGAGCGTTGGTGACAAATCGGTTTAACTAGCTGTCGGCTGCTTGTTTTGGTTCCTCTGGTTTGAACTCCCACTATTGCCACTGAACTTTAGTGATGCATCATCACGACGAAACTGCACCTTAACGTGATGTGATGACTAGTGCACCTCTGTTTGCCTATCAAGCTACACAAGATGGCTTTTGTCAAGTTGAAAATCTAATCTTGCCTGGAATGTCGAACGGTAGAGATCGGAAAAAGTCTACTTTCCTGGACCTTCAGATTCGGGGTTCCACTAGCATTGGCGTTTCAGTCGGTTTAACTGGTGGAGGAGTAAATGAATGGGCATCCAATTCGCTTCACCTGCTGTCTTACCATTGGGTTCTTGGTTGAGAACCCTAATCGTGCCTAATGGCTGGATTCCCTGGCAGTACCCCTCCATAAAACCCCAGTGCATACAAGCAGTGATGTTTATTTCATACTGTGTCAGTCATCACGCAGCATACTCGAAACCGTGCTGCCCATTACATCGAGCGAGGTGGGGCTTGATTTGCGGGCTAATGCTCAAATGTCCTGACCTCAGCTTATTTTTTCATCTTCCTTACCCAACGCCGTCCCTTTGTTGCGACCTGTAACAGTCCCTCAAAAACTTGGATATCGCTCGCAAAAGATGGTTACCTAATAGCACTAAGTCATATACTACGAAGTGAATTGCGGGTTCTAAGGCCCAGTTAATCACTGTGACCCTCGTCGCGATGACTCTGATATATGTAGATCCACGAACTTGTCTGGGGTGTACAATAGAATCCTAAAGGAATGATCTTTGCTGCTTATCCGAGTCTCGAATTCAGGATCCAACTTATAGCCACCTGAGTGCACTAGATTTGTCTTCGAATTAAGTTCTTTGCACATCAGGCGACGATAAATCCCGCGCAGTAGGTCAGCATGAAGTAGGTATTGTACTCATTAACAGGGCTGAGTCCTTTCTTATTGATTGGATCCCCGTCAGTAGTCGCTGGCGTGTAGTTCATCTCCAGGATTCAATCAGCGTCCGGAAGGGAAGCAACACCAAAAAGTGTTGGTTTATCATATTGGCATATGCACTGACCAATTGCGGTTCCAATACACAAAAGGACGCTTTCTACGATGAGCTCACCGATCTCGGTCGGATGAGTCAAAGCTCCAAGATAGTTGTACTTGAAGGTGACGTAAACGCTCACGTTGGAAAACTGAGGGCATCAGAAGCTTGCCTAGGTGGTAGGTGTGCTCTGCCCAGCCAACGAATAGATAACGGCGATCGACTTCATTTCTGTGCAACCACCATCTTTCCCTTCCAAGACCAACTCCCAACATAACTCCTTGAAGGCAGATCAATATCAATGCACAGAAAGCCAGACTCCAGCCTGATGGTGAATGTACGATCAAATTTGTACCTTGGGTCAGGTCATTGAGCTGCAACAAAGACACTGTCGACCAACAATTGCAATGTTCCTTGACTAAAAAGAAACCTTCGACTCAGTTGACCATGAAGCTCTGATGGATTCTCTTTTTCGCAAAGGAATATCCCAGAAGTACATCAACTTATTGAGGTCGCTGTACTCACATACCGCTGGCCGTGTAAGGGTATAACAAACGAAATAGGTTGTTCTTCGGTAGCAGCGGCGTTCGTCAAGAGTGTCCCATTTGGCCATTCCAGATCATTTTCGTCGTGGACGAAATACTGGAGAAGGCACCAAGTGGTCGCCAAACTGCAATTGTTTCCTTTTTACTTCCTTTTCCTGAATAAACGAAGATACAATTTGCAGGAGGGGGAAGCGGCCAATCAAAGAGCTGCCATACAAGACATAGAGAATGGGGAAAATCAGACGGGGGTGGTGGGATTTAAACACGTCCTCCGGGGTGATATTTTGGTGACGTTACACCAGGCCACCACCGCATTAAACGAGAAGCTAGAGAAAATCTGTGACCTAGTGTACGCCAATGACATCTTCTGTCTGTTAGAATGTCTGAAAGAAGCATAAAGCGCACTTGATCGACTCAAAGTTGTCGTTACACCATTTGGTATGTGTTTTACATTTTCAAAGTGCAAATTGATGCCGCAAGACTGGATGTCGCCTGCTTCCACTTTGAATCTAAATAGTCAGGATATAGTTATTGCTTTTCCTACTTAAGTACTTGCGTGAACATTGAGGGCGACGCAGCAAAGGAGATAACTGCGCGGATTTCCAAGGCTCAAGCAGCATACACAAGACTAGAACACCTTCGGCGTAGATGTGACGCTTGATTGAAATTGAAAGGTCGTGTATATCGTACTATCGTTCGTTCAGTCCTACTTCCTCGTTGCTAGAGCTTGAATTTGTAATTTCCGATCGTGTACACTTCCGGTGGTGTATAAGATTGGAAATGCAAGAGACATCCCCGAACAAAGATGAATGAATGTTTTGTAACATTTTGCAATGTGTACATCGGAGTCCCCAGACGATCACAAGGCAAATTGCCCAGGAATGCAATATGTCACAGTATTCCGTGCTTAAACAAGGTATTGTGGTACAGTGCGAAAGTATTCTAACTGCTACCCTTCAGAAGGCGGAAGAAAACTATGTTCACCGGATTTTGCTAGGCAAGCAGCAGAATAGAAAACATATTGATGAAGTTTTATAAAATAAATATGAATTTTTCCATAGTATTTATTCTTCCGGAATTCTATCTCTGACGTAGTTAGCGAATTCGTTCAACAAGAAAATAGCCAGTTTGGAAAAATTCAATAAGAGTGTTGCGTTGGCCTGTATTAGCGAATATTGTTGTCCGTGATTAAGACAAGTTCAAAGTTTTATTATGGCTATCTGTTTACTGAACCCAATTCGAAAAATGGTGCGTGTATCTTAGACGAGTCAAGCGTTGGCCCAGTGTCATTATTGCTTAAGNTTGCGAATTTCCCACAGGTGATTCTTTACCACCACTTAGGCAGCATCGGATTCGGAATCGATCCTCCTGCACCGGCCCCAAAAATCACACGACAGATCGTTTTCATTTATCGATCGGTCGGATGGTTCAACAAGGGACCTGGTGCTTGCCCAGCTAACCCGAGCGAGCAACCACACAGCCGTGAGTCTTAGGCAGGCCCAGTGAACTTCAACTGTGCAGCAGGGGTGCCATCGGCACACAGATGAACTGGACGTGACAAAATATACAAGTCGGTATTCAGACAGTCTCGTGTTGGGGTGAGGGTTTCCAAGTCCCGCAGATTGCGGAATATTATCCAATCAGATCGCGGGAAGGGTCAGAGAAAATTTACTTGTTCAAGGTCACGGATGAGAGGGACCAAATAATGTGAAACGATAGAGCAATCGTACTGTAGAGGCTATCTATAGACTATAGAGGTTTGCGATTATCGGTGTTTACGGAGTTTAGCTCACGTGGCATGGGGTGTGCTATCCGGAGGTAAACCTTTGTGTGATTGTTTATCAGGGATAAACCTGCTCACGCATCGAATTAAAATTAGTATTTTTCCCTGATTAAGGCACGTGTTGCGCATGAACATTTGTCGTCCACCGTCCCACGGCTGTCTCCCTGTAACCGCCTGGGGCTGGTGGAAACCACGTGGAGGTAAACATGTGTCGTGGAGACAAGGTATGAAGAAATGCACAGAGCCAGTAGGTAGAGTGGGTGTCTCGCGTCTTCCATGTTCTGGTCTGAAAGAATGCTGGAGACACGGAAGGAAAACGTAGCGAACCGACAGCAGTGGGGTTCTTGCTATCATTTCCAGTCACGTCAGAATGCTAGAAAAAGTAAGTATGCACAGTTAGATTATGTACTCTGTGTTGATCATAGAAGTCCACTTCCTTCCTCCTCCCTCAAAGTAGATCCAATCGATACCCACTTTATATGTTACCATTGACTTTGTATTCATTGCAATCAGTTAAGTTCGCGTCGGTTTACGATGATCGGGACATGTAACTCAGTGTGACACTGTGGTTTTCGTCACTCAAAGTTGTGGTTTTAGGTTACTGGTTTTCATGAGTGAATAGCAGGTCCTCATTACAAAGTTTCTACCCCATCTGGCGCTCGTCACGCAAGGGTGTTTAATTAATCCAAAAAGAGTTTCACATTTTTCATTAAATGATGGGTATTTGCAACTTTTGTTCTAATCACTTCACCGAAACTCCAACCAGACAAGGATTTCGTCCCATTATTTTCTCAAAGAGTTTTCCATTTTGTCCAATCGACGAAGATAACTGCAATACTGTTCAAATAGTTTTCGCCCTGGGAATATGTTCTGCTCAATGACTTTCATGTCATTTAATGAATGTTTGTCAATACGATTGATCACCCATGGTTCCTCGGGATACCACAGTCCTTTCTTCCATGGTCGCCTTTTCTGTTTATCCTTATTACACAATGCGTGTATGATGCCTCCCTCGCTCTTCCAGTGAAGTATGTGCATTACATCACTGATTTTTGGTCTGTCATTCTTTAAACTTTGGGCATTTCCTCAGGGTGTTTTACGTGTTCAATCGGAAAGCTCAATTACTACTGTTTTTGCTATGTGTCAGTATTCGTGGCCCCCGGTCTATCGGTCTGGCATACTAGCACTACGAATAGCGATAACACATCGACTGCTCAGATCATCGTTCGAACAGTAAACGCTAAACTAAGAAAATTTCGTACAGCTTTCGAGATTGGATATGAGCAATCACGCTTACTTTGCCCGCAATACAGCCAATTTTGAACCCCTTGGAAATACGGACTCATCACAGTTACTCGAACCCAAGTTAACGAAGCTGCCGCGCCAGCCGATCAAGGCGTTTTAAATTCTATATATTTGTATTGAAATCCATGTGCGGCATACGGTCTTATTATTCTCTCTGTTATTGACTGTGTATTCGGAGTACTAATTCTATTGTCCTGTTCTTCTTTCACCTGTTTGGCAGCAATAAGTGTGCTTTGACTCATCGGAATTCGTCATGCCGATAATTTTTAAAGCTACATGACTATCCATCCATTTTTAGTTCTGAAAACTGAAGCTGGAACTAATAAGTTTCGTAGCTCAATCTGAGTCAGATTTCATCTTTTGTTTCTACTGTTTGCAAGTAACTTTGACCCTTTTCATCATGAAGAGCGCTGCGTTTGTGCTCGGTTGAAATCATTTATTTCGTTCAAAGAACTGAAGTCAATCATCAGACGAGAATAATTTGCACATTCCACAAATCTTGTCGAATTACCTTTGGGTTAAAATTATTGTAGTGCTACTTATTTTACTAACTTCCATTTACTCACTATTCACGAAGTGTTCTGAATCCGACCTTTGGTTGAGATTTTTCAATGTTTGTGAAATTAGCCTTATAACGGTTTTTTGGCCCATTTTAAAATCGTTCTAAGCTTATGGAACTTGTAAGGCTCATGATTTCATGGAGCTGAACCTAGTGGGGTTGCCCAAATGGGCGCAGTATCACAGGATTTTGTGTATACACAATTCAGCAGAATGTGGTCCATCTATTCCGATTGGTGCATTCAGTAGCAGAAATCCACACCTTTAGGTTCGTTTTGCTCCACTCCCGTTCGGTAGCCAGTCATTGAATGGCCATTCGAATCCCCTCATTCCCGATTGCCATCCTAACCAGTTTGGCATTGCTAGCATGGCTTCACCCGTTATTTGGTTTGTCCTCTTTTACGGTTATAGATTTTGGCCATGCTGTTGCGAAAAAAGCGCTCCTTGTTGACTACACGCATACTGGATTCAGTGCTCAGTTTGACGCTCAGTTTGGATTCCTGGATCGATGCAACATATTCTCTAGAAGTGAGTTGTAACTGAAATATTTGCGTGAACTGATCATCAATCTTCGAACTCGCTCAGTCGTTGAGTTGCGGCTATCCAATGCTGTGCCCAATGGCGCTCAGCGTATTACAATAGGCGGTCTTAGTGAATAAATTGAATTTACAGCTGTTATTTAGCCATATGCTCGTGTTTTAGACAGTCATTGTTTTGTTCTCGTTCATCAGGCTACTTGCTAAAAAACTGCTGTGCCTTCACCGTTGCGATCCGAGTTGTTTCGTTAGTCATGATGTACCGTTATCTATGTGTACGCGGCGAGCATAGTGGACTTTTTAGTTTCCTTATATATCAATTTTATTGCATCACATTTTGATCACAGGTGCAATAGATTTTAGATAAATATCATGCAGCTACACAGTTATTTGAGTATCTTTTAGTGTTTACCTTTCCAAATGAAGTGATAATTTGATAAGTGTTTGAAACACTGCCTTTCTCCATCCTTTTGAACGTCAATGCTCTTCGTCCACTTGGCAACCGCTTTTCTCGCATTTTCCTCAAGTGCCGGTCAATAGAATCGGTTTACAGCTCGTAACCCGGGCGCAAGAAACTTTTGTTTCCATATACCTTTGGTCCGCTTTCTCTTCTTCATGTTTAGGCGTTGAATAATACTGATCGTTTAAATTCACTTCTGAAATAACGTTTGTTATATCTGTACCGGAATAATCTACAGAACTTGTGGACTGCTGTCGCTTTATGTCATCGGTTGGGCGATGGGTTTATTTCTTCCTCCCACTTTGATTTGTCCTGTTCTTGTGGATCACGTTGTTGGTTCTCTTTTTGCTTGCAGAACATATCTCCGCTGGATCATCCGGCCTTCGAGGACCTCATGTGTGATTTAGATCTGTGGCGTGTGGATACTGAACGTTCGAGCAATGCAGACACACACACATTGCGTGGTGCACAGTTATCGCCAACCGATAAACGCTCCGTTACAATGGATAGCATTGCATCTAGCCAGTTGGTTGAGGTGGATTATCGTCTCGTAGCCAATATGCTTAACCATTTGGTNGTTGAGCAACGAGACGAAACGTCCCCCGGATGATCCTTGTGGTCCACGGGGTCGTAAAGCATCTTGTTCGACGACAGAGGTTGGTTGTCTCATTATAATCTCTTTGCGTGTCATATTTCTCTGAAGCATGAGTTTCATTGTGGGTTTGTCCTATCACCAGAACTACCCTGAAAAAAAGTTTACTACAGTCGAATTACACCTTAGTGTTATATTTCTAGTTGAATTTGTACTGGGCTCAAGTCAGTTCATTTGTGTATCTAAGCTTCCTGCGTTTCGGTGCTCCGCAACTGAATGCTATCTTTCACTGGTCAGTGGAAAAATAAATATCGAATACTACCAGAAATTAACCATGTACTTTCGTGAGCCGGTTTTGGTTGCCCATTGGGATAAAACAGCAGAATGATGATTAGAATGTTGAGATCAGATTCAACCGTACTACAGTAAGCTTTATCATTTTGAACTGCCCGTTGGCATGATCCCAACAGCCTCATCCGGAAAATCTGATATCGTATATAGCCCCTTCAAGAAAATGGAGGACGTCGTGTTCATATGTGTGTGTTAATGTGATGACACTGGAAATTTACCCGCTAAGCCTAACCACGAACTGATTATTTTAGAAAGTTAACATATTTCTCGTTGCATGGTACTCTTAAAACACTTGCATCTCCTGGTTTTTAAGCATATATACTATTTAATAATCAATAAAACCAATAACTGAAGTGGTTGATGCTGTGTTTCTGATGCACTTAGGAACTGGCTTCATTTTTACTCGTTATCTGTTTCTTTAACCCGTTGGATGACAATTTGATTGTTCTAGGTTCAGTTGAATAATTCATTCTGACCCTAGAAACCTGAATTTTCCTAATCTATCGCTTCATTCTAATCGTTTACATTGCATTGAATTGACTGACAACTGCGCTCACATTGTTGCGTATCGTGGATAGTGTAAGATAGATTTGTTGATGTCCATCGACGTCAATCATGCCACCAATACTGGTTTGACCCTGTTAGTCATTTTTCCACTGCTTAGTTGACGATAATAACGAAGCCGTTTTTTAACATTCCGGGAGATGCTTTAAAACTAAGTATTCGCACAAATCTTTCGGTGCTCATTTTTTCGGTCAATATTATTTGTGTCACTTGTGCAAATCGACAGGATGCGTATGTTTGCTTTTCCGTGCGTATCCACTAGGGGATTCAAAGCTTTTCGTCTTGATAAATATTGATGCTGTTGGTGGTGTGTTCTCCGAGCTAGAAGTGTTCTCAGACGTTTCGTAGCCAGGCTAGGCTGCAATCGTTCCACATTATTTTCAAATGTTGATGCACCATTTCGTTTACTTTGCCAACGTCACCTAACGTGTAGTAGACAGTACAATACTCTGCCTGTCAAAGCCCCATCAGGTGTCGTATAATGGACAACTTTGATTAATCGTTCCGTGTACTTGTGCTTTTGTTTGTGAACGTCGTCCTCGCATAAGTGCGACGTAATTGGTTGCCTCTATCATTCTCATTTATACTTGGCATTCAGTCCATACACCCATGCTGGAACATTTTGTTTGACCGTGTGATCTATGCTCTATTGAGCTCACATTCAAACCCGTCACGACCACAAGCAGTCGCTGGACAAACCGAGTGTCGAATGAATGATTCAACTGTGGCTTCTGTGGTCATCACCACCGGACGCATTGCTTTGGTTGATGCTTGTATGCACTTTCTACGCGCATGTCTTGCCCAATGCGGTTCTGCAAAGTGGCTACTACGGTAAGTATCCATCTGTCGCTGTTATTTCGACAGGACCTTCATTTGTGCGCCGACCGGCTTGACCTGTTAATCTTGAAACGGAACGAACGTCTTCTAATTCTGTTTTCACTGGCACCAGCGAACCCGACTGAGCATCTTACAGTTATTTCGATTTACTAGTATTTCAATCCTCAACAATATTTTCACGGGTATACTCACAAAGTCACGACCTACCTAATCCTATTAGTTGTTTCAGAATTGGTTCGGATGCGTGGTGGCAGAAATACAGAATACCATCCTTCGCTCTTGATTGATGCGCCTGTATTATTATTCCAATAGCTGATTTCTCAGTTATGGAGGTTGAAGTCAAAAAAAAAGTTTTGTATGACATGTATTCAAAGGCATCATGTTTTGTCAGAGCTTTATTCTTCCTCTTTGATACACTTCTTCAGTAAATATCTGATAAATTGGGATTTGTGCGCAGTGGTTGCCACAATCGCTGTCTTGGAACCTTTCAAAGTTTCAGGGTTTCTGTAACAAAAGGGAATATATCATCCTCGTTACCACCAGGTTGAACCCTTCCGCCAACCATCAACTAATTAGGTAAAAGAACCAATGAAAGTTGAAAAACGTTTAAATTGTCATCGGTAATTAAAATTGATCTTCAAATGTATGACTTCAGTAATATGACAATAAAGTCTTTGGTGTTGGTCGGATATTGAGTCGGTTGCATTTAACACCTCATTTTTATTTACTCTAACTGTGTGTTCCTCATGTGAATCACCATTGAATTTTGCAGCTAACATTGTCTGTGGTACGAACAGAACTAAACAGAACACGTAATTTGTCTTATTAATATATTATATATTCAACACCGGCCTGAGATCAAGCTTGGTGCCAACGCCATAACAATAGTAACAATAACGAGCAGGAGGGGAGGAATGGGATACAGAGTATAGGGAAAAAATGTAGCTGTCAGAATAGAAGCTAACGAATAAAAAGAATGACAATTTTTTGGTGTTTCACCGTACACTTTTTGAATTTTTTTGTTTTTATGGGGTACGCAATTTCGGTAAATAGACCGTACAGCATTCGCGCCAGTGACTTCTATTCTAGGCCGTATCTCTCAGCGTCTCTAACCAACGACAATCCTCATCCCTTGGGCCCCAATCTCGAAGACGGGCTGCACCAACCGAAGCCGAGGCCGAA